CACTTAAAATAGAAAAGAGCTAAAATTAGCCCCAGGAAAACAGAGACAGAAATAAATGAACTGAGTCACCAAAAACACAAATGTCAATAGCATTTGACAACTGCAGAAACACAAAATCTAGATTAAAAGAGAACGGTGTATAAATGAGGCCTGGTTATAGAAGAGAATTCAGTGTGTAACAAGTTGACCATCAAGTTGATAGAAAGCGGTTAAGGGCTAGATTCTCACTTGAGGGACGTCGACACATCTATGTTGCAGATTTCCATTAACCTAAACATGGGCGGCACGTGGCTCCAGCATTTGGGGAGGCTGGACCAGTGCGGGCAGGGCCACAGGGGAAGAGCGGCAGCACGGCCTCGGGGCGGAGCGCAGGCAGGGCCACAGCCCAGGAGTCTGCGCTCTCAAAGGAGGCGGGTCTGCGGCTGTTCGGGAGGCTTAGCCTCCCCTGGCCTATTATACCTGCCGCCCATGGACCAATCCCAACTTAGATTTAAAGCACCAGACCCTCAACTGCTCTAAAATCCTGGCTCCCAGAAGAGCATTGTTCCAAACAGTGGGCGACTATTAAAAAGACAGAAGGGAAAAAAAAAAAACCTGCTCCCTGGTGGCAACAATGAAACATTAAACTTTTGTCCTTTTGGTTTCTTTTTGTTCCTTTCATGCCTTCCTTCATCTTTGCAGGGTCGTTTCTGTCCTCATACCACCTTTGGGATTGCTCACCGCTGAGTATCCAATAAAAACATAGCTGAGCCATTAAATCTATCCCCAGTTAACCCAAAGTCTTTTATTAAAGAAATTTTCCACAAGGGATAAATAGTGTCTCGTTTTCTGATTCTCAGCAGTCTCCTGTCACTCTACACTTATTAAAACTGTTGCTAATATACTGCTCCCAGTTAGCAACTAAAATAGTTAGTTATTCCTATTAATTCGCCAATAAAACAGTCTCGTGGTGCAATAAAAAGAGTTTTGTCACTTATTTGTTTTACTGATCTGACCGAAAAGTTTTCCAAGTTTCCCTCTGCATATTATCATTAAATACTTTATAACGTGGGTGGGTATAAATGTGATTTTAAAATAGGCATCTAATCGTGTTACAGATGTTACCAGAATCCCCCCAGAAATCTCGTAATGATTGGTGGTACAGCTTTTTAAAGTTTCTTTCTTTTTAAAAAAAAGTCTGCCAGATGTAGTGACAACCTCAGAAAGAAAGACAGAAAGACAGAAAGAACGAACGAATGAACTGCATTCTTGGGTCAAGCCAGAGCAACTCATAACTGTCCATCCAGAGAAGCAAATAGCCCTGCAGCAGGCGAAATGGCCTTGTTCTGAGGTTTGTATGTCAAGAGACACAGAGCCCAAATAATACAGTGTTAGAGAAACAGATAGCGACAAGAAGTTCGAAGGTCCTGCACTACTTTACTATTAGACACAGATGTAACCACAGTGCACTAAAGATAAATAATAAAATCAGGCTTTTAGGCAGAATCTCGGGTATTTTGTCCCTCTTGAGGGAAAAATACCCTCTTTCCCAACAAAATTTTCAGGACCTCCAAACATCTAGAGCCAGCCAACCCCTGAGAGTCCCAATTTATATCACATCCCTTCTGGTTCTATAATGTAACTTTCAAAAACTAGCCCTGCTGGAAAGTGTTGATCATCATTTTATTCATTCATTACAGTAACTGAGCCTCTGCATCTCTTTATCAGTAAACAGCGAGGCAACACTATACCACAGATTATAATAGAAAGTAAACATCCTACCCAATGGAAACTGTGGGAGGATTTGCAGGCAGAAAGGATGTAATTACTAAATTTGAATTTGGACACCAGGGCTCAGTTCTCTCCCACAGGCTGCAAGTCATTCTCTTTGAAGCTAGAAGTAGTTACTTATATCCAGCAGCAGAGAGATCCAGCCCTATGCAAAGACATGCAAAACCACCATGCAACGTTTAATGGTCACAGGTGTCCTGGGACCTTGATTTTTGTGTTCCATTCAAAAGACACTTCCAGGTGCCCAGTGATCCCTAGCATCATGTTCAGAAACAGGTTCAACACTCAGGGTTTGTCTACACTCAGAGGTGTGACTGCAACACAGGTAGACGTACCTGAGTCTGCTGGCTTGAACAACAGCAATGCAGCCATGGCAGCGTGAATGGCAAAACAGATGGTTCAAACCCGCCTGGGACTCTATGTATGTACTCAAGCTGCTATCCTTGCTGTCATGGCTTCAATGCTATTGCTATTCAAGCTAGCTACATCAAAGCTAGCTTAGATATATCTACACATGCTGCACTCATAGCTCTGATCTTAGCATAGACATAGCCTAAGATGCAACAGCATCACTTACTGAATCACCAACACCAATTTTTGCAGCACTTTCTTTACTGCTGCTCTTCCCTAGTAATTTGGCCTGATCCTGCTCAGGTTGAGAAACTTGATGTAACTCCACCATAAGGACAAAGTATTCACAGTAGGCAGCAATGCCAAAAATCTCCACATATAGTATGAATTCCACAGTATTACGGATTCTGAGCCAAAAGCCAAAACGATAAAGTGGGGTTTCGAAATCAAGGGAGCTATGCCAATGTACATCAGTTGAGGATCTGGCCCAGAATTTTTAAACAAGTTAATTTTTACTCAAGTTACACACAGGTCATTAGGTAATAGAAGTGGTTGTGCGTCTAGGCAACACTGTCCTGAATGGAAAGAATTTATCCGACCAGCTACATGTTGAATAATTTCCTACGCTAGCTCCTTTTCCCTCACTGGGAAGAAACCTGTCATTCTGGATCCTAAAGTCACATGAAATCTGCATCCAATGTGAATCGCTGTGCTGTATATATCATCATGAGTTGTTACAAAGAGTATCATTGTGCTTTGACTTTGCTGTGTGTTTACTCAATATCTGTAGCAGTAAAAATGCTTTTCACGGGAGAGCCACTGAATTAATATGAGCAGATTTATTGTGCATTCTTTATCATATTTCACGTACTCTGGACTCAAAAACTCGAACACAAATATTAGGAAAACAGATTCTGACAGAAAGGTGGTGAGAAGCCCCATAAATATCCCAATGCCTCTGTACATGAGGAACCCACTGACCATGTAAAAATGGGTGTATGTGTAGATATGTGTACCTACCTTCAGAGGTAATGCCCAGAATAAGGCATCATTTCTAGAACTACAGCCTGTGGAGACTTGTGGGAGTAAAAAAGCGGACACTCAGGTTCTACAAAAAAATGACGACAACCCCTAGTTCCACAGCAATGGAACAGCAGTATGAGGCGGTGGTTGGTTGGCTTGCAGCTATTACACATCTTCATATCTCTAGCTTCTGAAGAACATGACAAATAAGGGCGCTATTGCCACACTGGAAAGGGGCTATTTATACCAGACACAACAACATTAAAACAAATAAGAATTAGAACCACAAAACATTCCCTGCCCTGCCCTCTTCCCAAACACACACACACACACACACAGGAACAAAAACAAAACAAATCCCTACATATTTGTATGGAGTTAAAAATTCCCTGATATTTATTACAGGATTTGTCATTCCCCTCCCACCCCTTTTAAAATGAATTTTCCCATTTTAATTCCTGATCCTTTTTCCCTTTTGACAGCATCATTTCAGAGCGGGAAGCAGAAAACAAAAATAAAATATGTTCCTCTAAACCAGCGATCGTTCTACCCTATCAGTAGATTTTGTTTTAGAGAGGCTATCAGATGTTATTCATTGATCTGCTTAAATACCAACCAGATCTTTTCTCCCAATGACGAGTAAATACAGAATGTGAGAGAGACAGGGTGTTTTTTCCCCCCTCTTTTGGGGCCTGATTCTAAGTCCATTGAAGTAAATGGAAGTCTTTCCACTGATTTCAATAGACTTTGGCTGAGGTTCTAAATGAATTAATTTATGCTAAATGAAAGCCAAGCTATATAATGACATTGCTTTAACAACTTTGTCCAAAAGATGGCACTGCGGATGACACCATCCTGAGCCAGACTTGCTGTAACAATAAAAGGTTACTCCTACTATTGTGAGGGGCCTTGCAGTCATTAGTCTCTGAAATTGCTTTCCGTGGTGTAAGAAGAGACATAACAACTGGCTAATTTAATAAAAGGGTTTAGGTTCATTGAGCCAGAGAGGCAAGGATAATAGCAATGGATTCTGGAAAAATTCTAAGTCACTCAAACATCATGGGCTTGAAGTTTTCTTAATGGAATCAGCCATTTTCAGGTTGGGTTCATTTCCTCCCCCTCTCCACAGCCATTCAGGTGGACCATGGAACAGAGAGCATGCAGGCTGCAGAGGCAGTGACACTGGCACCAAAAATGCTGGGAGCGAATGCAGCTGAGCTGTTGTATAGTATTTATAGGGATACCAATCTCTAACTGGTACCTATGAACAGCTGCCATTCCTGATCTCATTGAAATCAATGGAAGTTTTACCAAAGGTCTGAATGGAGACAGGGACATCATTTGATTCCAGATAGAAACAAAGTATCAGGGAAGAGAGAAGCCTGATGGCAGAAAGAATGACATCTCTAAGCAAGCCTGCCAGCGGAGGTCACAAATACATATACACACAAACATGTCCATTCAAGCCAATTCATCCACAAAAACGGTACAAAATTCAACAATTATTACAACACACTAGATTGTACCAAAACAATCAATAACATGATGCAATATGATTTGCACCATTCATTCAACAACCTGCTGGAGAAAAAAATATAAATAGTAACAGACCAGATTGTTTATAAGAGTTCCATAATGCTAAAGTGAAAAAAAAAATCCATTTATAAGAGCAAGTCTGTAACAGCACTCAAGGTTGAACTGACAGGTTACACATTACCTTAAAGGTGAACTGAAATGTTAAAAGCTGTTGAAAGTACAAGTAATTAAAAATAAGTACATCACTTCTGCCCTCACTTACACCACTGTAAATCTGGAGTAACCACAATGACACCTGCTATGTACTGGCCATGTACTGTTAGAAAATATTAAAACTAATTTTTTTTAAATCAGTTTTTATCCACTGACCTTTAAACAAGCAGTAGTCATTACTTGCAAATTCATACTTTAAAATGTTTTATAGCTTTTATAATTGACTATTTTATTTGCATACAATTTTGGTTCAGAATAAAAGGTGCTGTTTTAACAGTACAGCAAGTCATTGTGCTGATGGCAATAATTGTTTTGCTTACCCTGACAGTGGTATTTTCAGGTTCACACAGCTGCCAAAAGCTTCTGTTCCTAGGTCTCCAAGGAAGCCAGAGCTCAGCCTAACCATGGCAAAACAACATTTCCCTGTGATAAGCCAGGATGCCAGCTGCTCTAAAGGAATGACCATCAGACATGATATCAGCATGAGTTCTCTCTCAATTCCAGGATCCTGTAATGAGAAAAAAAAGAACACGGACTACTTGACTTGGTAGTATAGTTGAGAAAGCTCCAATTACAGGATCCCTTTATATTGAAGATGTACAATGCACTATTTAGATTTTAAAAGAAAAAATGATTTTATCAAAGAATAAAAAAATTAACCAATTTTTATTTAAATTAAATACAGAGTTTTTTAAATAAACCTATTGAAATTAAATTAGAAATTAACTTATGTTAAGGCCTAACGTATTAAAAACTATTACAATAATTTATATTAAATACAAAAATATTAAGCAGTAAATGTATGTTGCCAAGCTTTAAAGAAAGTAAAACCATAGTCACCGGCTAAGTTTTTGGAACTAGATTTTGTTGTGCTAAACCAACTTTTGAAAGCAATAGTTTGTTGTTGTTGTTGCGGGGAGGAGAAGTGGGGGGCAGAAAGAATATTTTCTTCATTTCGTTTTATTCAACTAGCTCAGTTCAGTGATTAGTTAATCCAAAATTAAGAAATCAATGGGAGTTGAAAAAAGCAGGAAAGCTTTTCTTCTTCTTCCAATCTATGAATAAAAACTCGGTATGAGAAAATGAGATCTACTACTTTTAAAATCTTTAAAGACATGGTGACCAGAAAAAAAAGAATCTGTTCAATTCATTAATTACAGATCATACTTCCTTTGTTAAATAAATTAGTTAGTTTGAAATGCAAAACATGCATTATAAACTTCGTTTTTCCTTCTATAGCCAGCACATTTAAGGTAGTTTTATTTAATAAGAAAAAAATTAAATGCTGTTTTTTTAATTGAATTTCCATCCAAATAGGGCTTGACAAAAATCACAAGCAAAAAAAAAAGAAAAAGAAATACATCATTCACCATTTTCTAACATAACAGAAAATCTAAAAATTAAGAATCTGCATAAATGTAAGTTAAGCTATATAATTGCTTAAATGTGTATAGATATATAGTGTATGCTCCCAGCTAGTAAAAAGAAGCACCAAATTTAGTGCAAAGGCTATATTTAGTTGCAAATCAACATGTTTTAATGTTTAGTTACTTAGGAAAATAACTAAAAAGTAGAAATGCAAAGTATGATTAAAATTAACTATTTAAAATCATGATTTCCTGCTTGCTAATTTAAATCCCAATTAAAATTGGCTACTTAAATCAATATACTCTGCTACAGGGCAAAATTCGCATTTATATATACACGCCAGAGTGGCATAAAGGAGCCTTAGTGTTCAGGCCAACAGTGACGTAATCAGGCCAAAAGACTATTAAATGTTTCTAATGCTGGAGGAGTATAACAGCACGGGTTTCTTCTGAATCTCGTTCGTCTTCCAAGATGCAGCACTTCAGAAACTGAAGCTGAACTACTCTGGACCAAAAGATCATTGGGGTAGTAGTAGAAGTACAAAGCAGAAAGGCTGAAGCTCCCTCCCCAATTAAAAAAACAAAAACAAAAAAAACCACCACTGACACCCTTCTATGTGTTTATGTCTTTGTAAGGAAAGGTTTCAGAGTAGCAGCCGTGTTAGTCTGTATCCGCAAAAAGAACAGGAGTACTTGTGGCACCTTATAGACTAACAAATTTATTAGAGCATAAGCTTTCGTGGACTACAGCCCACTTCTTCACAGACTAACACGGCTGCTACTCTGAAACCTGTCATTATGCAAGGCACTGCATTTAGCCGTATGGAGTGGAAATCCATCAACCTCATGAAAAAACTCGTACTTATGCATCCGAAGAAGTGGGCTGTAGTCCACGAAACCTTATGCTCTAATAAATTTGTTAGTCTCTAAGGTGCCACAAGTACTCCTGTTCTTTTTGTAAGGAAAGCAAGTCTGCAGTCTCAGATGTGCCAGGATCCTCAAAACTAAAATGATGGAAGGCTGAAACTCTCTAATCAAGAGAATTTTGGGGGTCTATTGTAGCACCATACAGGTATTAAAGGACTTAGCTAATATTTTTAAATGGATTTTATTTCTCACAAGAGCGGGACCTGCCACTGGTTTGCTGCTTTGCAATGCATTGGTGAAGAAATAGTTCCCAGCTCTGGAAAAAGCTGGATATGAAAGCA